GGGGGATGATCACGTCCCTCCATCTGCTGGCAATGCCCCTACTTATACAGCCCAAAATGCTGTTAGCCGTCTTGGCAACAAGGGTACACTGTTGACTCATATCCAGCATCTCATCCACTGTGACCCCTAGGTCCTTTTCTGCAGAACTGCTGCTTAGCCACTCAGTCCCTAGTCTGTAGCAGGGCATGGGATTCTTCCATCCTAAGTGCAGGACTCTGCACTTGTCCTTGTTGAACCTCATCAGGTTTCTTTTGGCCCAATCCTCTAATTTGTCTAGGTCCCTCTGTATCCGATCCCTACCCTCTAGTGTATCTACCACACCTCCTAGTTTAGTGTCATCTGCAAACTTGCTGAGAGTGCAGTCCACGCCATCCTCCAGATCATTAATGAAGATATTGAACAAAACCGGCCCCAGGACCGACCCTTGGGGCACGCCGCTTGATATCGGCTGCCAACTAGACATGGAGCCATTGATCACTACCCGTTGAGCCCGATGATCTAGCCAGCTTTCTATCCACCTTATAGTCCATTCATCCAGCCCATACTTCTTTAACTTGCCGGCAAGAATACTGTGGGAGACCGTATCAAAAAGCTTTGCTAAAGTCAAGGAATAACACATCCACTGCTTTCCCCTCATCCACAGACCCAGTTATCTCATCATAGAAGGCAATTAGGTTAGTCAGGCATGACTTGCCCTTGGTGAATCCATGCTGACTGTTCCTGATCACTTTCCTCTCCTCTCCTAAGTGCTTCAGAATTGATTCCTTCAGGACCTGCTCCATGATTAATCATAACCAGCAAATCATAACCTTCCCATAGAGTTACCCTGTGGCTTTCTTTTGTAAAATTAAGTTCTCTCTTTCCCCTGAAGGATCAAACCCTGATTTCTCTTGCTTAACAGAATTCACTGGCGGATTGGCCGGGCTCTCTGTGCTAACAGCTATTGGCAAGTCTTTCTTCTCCTGTCATCCAGGTAATTTGCATCAACACAGACAGGAGCCTGTTCACCAGTTTCAGATACTTAACTGCTACATGGAATCAGATGTTAATTCCACTGAGAGCCTACAAGTCAGATCCCAGGTGTCCAGAGATGAGTTTACCCGCCCTCCCCTGCATTCTCCAGAGATTAACTGCCCAGCTGTTCTGCTCTGCAGACCCAGCTGCCCAGTCTTCCCTCTGAACCAGAGACACAGACTGTTCACTCACAGAATCTGCATGGAGACATTTCTGTCGCCACAACATTATCTTCCCAACAAACTGGGCAAGCACAGCCACTTGGTCATAGGGCTGTTCAACTTTCTTAACAATTTTCATTCCATCTGAGACCTTCTCAAAGCTACCCACACTGGATCTTTCAAAAGGGAAGTCAGTGGATCCATTCACCACAGACAATATCTGGCTGTTAGGAACTGAAACTTTCTTGACTGAATCACTTTCACACCCTTCAGTTGCAGGGAACTGCTTGCACAGATTACCACGAGGATTTCTTTCCCCAGGAGCTTTTCTAAGTAACAATTCACCCCTTTCAGAAATTCTGCCCTTACCCTCTTCACCTCGGGCTTGCTCTAAAGAAACACTTCCCTGAGCAACAACAGACTCTTCCCGGGTGTCACTTACATCCAGGATCACCTTTGGCCCATCAGGCGGATTCCTACACAATCCCCTTTTAGGCAAACTCATAGACTTCCTAGCTAAAAGGTGAGAGGTACTCTCCTTCCCTCTGCAACTTTCCTCACAGTCACTGGCAGCATGCAGGTTACCAGGCTCAGCACACACAGGCTTAGGAATCATTTCCTCCTTGTTGCAAGTCTCCAAACTGTCAGTGGGTAACACAATCCGCTCACCATTCTGCTCTCCCTGTGCCCTGGCTAGGGTATCACCCTGATTAGGCAGAGTTGCTACACCCTTTCCCAGCAACACACTAGCAACAGGCAAAGAAACAGTACCAGGAATCATTTGATTCCTGGGATTTTGCTAAGACACTAACTGGATGCAACTTAGTTCCAGTGCCATTCTCCCCAGCAGACACAAACTTAGGACCATTCCCTTCCTGGGCTTTAGTT